TTCTGAATTCAGCAAGTGACTAGAATGGGATCACATTTTGCGCATGTCCACTGAATTAAAGTGACATGCCACATCAAGTGACAAAAACCCTCAAGGGCCTTAATACCTCAGAAGGGATGGGCAAACTCTATAATCCTCCAGGATAAAATTTGGTGCCTGGAATCCAACTAATAGTTTATTGGAGGACATCTTCACATTTGAGCCTGCCCTGGATTGGATCACTAAAAGGGGGAGATATAGACCCAGAGGCTACATATAACTCATGTCTGCTACAGCAGTCAGAGGAGGCACATAGTTGGGAGTTGGCTGCTCCTGAATATTCTCCCCGGCAGATGAACCATGTAGCTTTCTAGTACTGGGATATCCAGTTCCTCAACTTCACATTTTTACAGAGCATGAGTTCAAAAATATTTCAGGGAGCAAAAATGTTGTGGAGACCATTATGGTCAAAAATAGAACTGTTCCTTCCAGTGAACATTCAGCCTATTAAATGCATGACTAATTCTTTTTCTGTTGTCCTTTTCTTTCCTTTTTTTAAAAAAAGCAAACACACTCATTATCTAACCTGACATCTCTTATATGGGAAATAATAGGAAATCCCCTAATGGCTGCCAAGAAAAATTAGAACCAACTGTTCATGTTCTGATTTCATAAGCTAAGGTCATGGAAATTAATTTTATCCTAATATACCAGGTGCATCTCGGGGATTTGGGTAAAACAAATGAACTTCCTATTCTTGTCATGTTTGGATTCTTGGCAAAAGGCCAATATGTTTTTCTTCATGGAGGTACATGTTTTCTCTTCCAATAACGAAAGAAAAAATTGAACAAAACTGACACCTTTTTCATTGTGTCTGCACATAATGTATTTCCACTGAACCTGCAGCATTTGGGGGAGTGTATTTCTTGTTGAAGGAGACCTGCTTTTCAAATGCAAATCTAAATTAAAAATAACATTTATCTGCCTTAACACTTTACAGTGACTTAATTATACAGTGTCACCAGGATTTGCTCTGTCAGTCTTCAAAAATAATGACCAAGAGTCTTAAAGACTAACACGTTTTATAAGCATTTATGAGCCAGAACTCCTCTTCTTCAGATGCATTATAACTGCTATGAATATACATGTGTGCAGAGAAGGCCTGGGGATGGAGGAAAGTTTTACAAAGTGAGGCCAAAAGGTTAAGTAATACAGACAATTCCAGTGTCTTGCCAACTCTGAGTTGGAAAATTCCTGGAGATTGGGGATGGAGCCTAGGGAGGAGAGGGATCTGATAGACTATACTCCACGATTCTAATCCCCTGTCTACACCGGTGGCCATCACTATATCTGCCAGCATCAAATTCCACATTTTAATAGCTCATTGTGTAAAGTTTTCCTTTTATCCGTCCTGAATGTACTGCCCATCAGCTTCACTGGATGCTCTTGAGTTCTAGTACTTTGGAAGAAGGAGAAAATTTTCTCTCTGTCAACTCTCTCCGCCCTGTGCATAATTTTATCAATCTCTATCATATCACCTCTTAGTCTTCTTTTCTAAACTTAAAACTCCCAGACTCTTCAGCCTTTCCTTATAGGGAAGGTGCTGATAATCTTGGTTGCTGTCTTCTGTAGTTTTTCCAGCTCTGCAGTGTCCTTTTTGAGATACAGTGACCGGAACTGCACACAGTCTTCCAAATGATGCTGCACCATAGATCTGTACAGGGGCATTATAATAGTGGCTATTTTATTTTCCTAATAATCCCCAACATTAGTTTGCCTTTTTCACTGCTGCAGCACGCTGGGTTAACACTTTCATTGAACTACCTACTATGACCCCAAGATCTTTTTCCATCTCAGTCTTAGCATATAGTTGAAGTTGGGATTTTTTTGTTCTGGTGTGCATCACCTTACACTTACCAGCGTTGAACTTCCTTTGCCCCCATTGTTGCCCACTCACCCAATTTGTGGAGATCCTCCAGGAGCTCTTCACAATCATCCTTGGTTTTTACCATCCTGAATAATTTTGTGTCATCTGCAAACTTGGCCACTGCACTGCTCATCCCTAGTTCCAGATCATTTATGAACAAATTAAATAGTACTGGCCCCAGTACAGATCCTTGTGGGACCCCACTGCTTACTTCCCACCATTGCAAGAACTGCCCATTTATCCCTACTTTTTGCTTCCTGACATTGAACCAATTTTGAACCTGTCATCTTATCCCATGACTGCTAAGTTTACTCATGAGTGTTTGGTGAGGTACCTCGACAAAATCATTTTGAAAGCCCAACTATATAATGTTTACCAGGTCACCAGTGTCTGTATGCTCATATAGAGGCTGTACCGTCTCCTTTTCAGGATGAATATAAATGCATATCTATATATCTAATCTCCAACAGATGGCGCCGTGTGGATACTTAGTCCCAGGAAAAGGAAGCTCCCTCTGGCCCAGGAGCTTCTCCTACATACTCAGTAGACTTCCTGTATCTGCAGAAAAATGCAAAAACTAAGAAAATTCCTCCAGGGATGGCTGAATTCCCCCCAAAACCTTTTGAAATGGCTTCTGCAGGGATCTGCTTCAGACACCAACTGTGAGAGAGAGGTTAGAACGTTCAGGGCGGGGGGGGGAGGAAGAGGCTTCTAACTGGCTCTGTGAGTCAAAGGGTGTGGGGGAAGGGCCCTTTTCCAGGCCTCCTTTGGCTTTTCAGGGAGGGAGGGAGCCTTGGGGCCTGGCCTGGGGAGTCCCTAGAGGTTTTGAGGTGGGATTGGGGAAGGGAGAGGCCTCAACTGGGTATAATGCCACAGAGTCCACCTTCCAAAGCAGTCATTTTCTCCAGGGAGACAGATCTCTGCTGCCTTGAGTTCAGTTGTAAGTCTGGGGGGGGGGTTTCCTTCAGGCCCCCCTTAGAGGTTGCCAAGCCTAGGCCTGCCAGCCCTTTAGGGTTGCCAGGTTCCCCCCCTGGCCACCGACAGGGGATTCTGGATAAGGTTGCCAGGTCCAGGCTGGGAAACTCCTGGAGATTTGCGGGAGGAGCCTGGGGAGGACAGGGACCTCAGTGGGGTACAATGTCACAGAGTCCACCCTCCAAAGCATCCATTTTCTCCATGGGGAGTTATCTCTGTAGTCTGGAAATGAGCAGGAATTACAGGGGATCCCCAGGTCCCACCTGGAGGCTGGCATCCCTCGGCAGCACCCTCTGGGTGACTTGATACCACCTGATTTGCATGACTCAAGTAGGCCCAGCTGCTTGCTACTGTTCATCAGTAGCCACCTTATGAAAGCCGGTGCGGTGCATCAGTTAGAACTTCAGATTAGGGTCTGCGAGACCCAGGTTCAGATCCCTATCTTGCGGTGGAAGCTGACTGGGTTATTCTGGACCAGTCACATACATTCAGCCTAGCCAACCTCACAGGGTTGTTGTGCAGATAAAAAGGAGGAGAGAATAATATAAGCTGTTTTGGTCCCCACTGTGGAGAAAGACTGTAATTTTCCTAGGTAGAGCCTGTGGGGGAGGGGTGTGGAGATGGAAAGTTGCAGACAGAGAAGCAGATAAAGGTAGGTTGGCTGTTGGGTGGGAAGGAAATTGTGTTGCCAACTCCAGGTTGGGAAATTCCTGGACATTTGTGAGGTGGAGCCTGGGGAGGGTGGGATTGGAGGAGGGAAGGAACTACAGATCAGTATAATGCCATAGCTGGAGGAGAAAAAGAAAAAGGGGGGGGCAGAAGGGAGAAAGAGGGTGAGAGAGGTAGAGGGAGACAGGAGGAAGCAAAGGTGTGAGGAATAGGATAACCGTTCCGCAAGTTTCTTGCGGGTCTCCACTTGTCAGTTCTAATTGTCAACCTGATCTCTTCCATCACCTCTCTTTTTCTTCTACACTTCTTCACTTGTGTCTCTTTAGGGGACTGTTTATCTTTATTGGTGTAGCTGTTTTGTGTTTTTAAACTTTTTTTAACTTGTTTGTAACATCCAGCCTAATGGGTTTTGTGAACTCAAAAGCTCACACTCTCTTATGTGCCATTTGGTTGGTCCTGATGATAGGGTATTATATGTATTGGGTTAAAAACTGAATACATAGAAAAATTACTTATTTTTGTCTTCATTGTGACATCATGAACATGTCCTGAAAAGCATATGCTCGAGTAAATGTTGCTCATTTTTATGGTGCCCCACCAAGTTTTCCCAGTGAATTCCATGGCCAAGTGGGGGGTTGAACCCAGGTCTCCCCAGGCCATTCTACTTACTACACCACGCTGTCTCTGCATAAGGGAGTTTTAGCATCCAACCTATTCTAGAGTTGTAGGCTCCAACCCTAAATCTGTTCTTTTATATTAGAAAAACCAGGGCTATTTTTGGGCAGAAACGCACAGGAACGGAGTTCCGGCTGGCTCCCAAGTTGACCACGCCCAGCAGGAGCTCATTAGCATAATAGGCCACACCCAACAGCAGAAACTCATTAGGATTGGCTACATTAGGGGTGTGTGGCCTAACATGCAAAGGAGTTCCTGCTACAAAAAAGCCCTGGGTTTTGACAACAAACAAGGTAAACAGAATAAGAAGCAAAAGGTGGGTGTGGCTGGATAACCACACTTCTGGTAACATGGGGGTGCGGCCTAATGGGCTAATGAGCTGTGCTGTCAGGGGTGTGGACTAATATGCTAATGAGTTCCTGTTGTTGGGTGTGGCCTATTATGCTAATGCGTTCCTGCTGGGCTTTTTCTACAAAAAGAGCCCTGAGAAAAACCATCATGCTATTGTAAATTTACTAGAGGATACCTTGTTTTATATAAAGAACTAACAACCTGTTCATAAGGATTGTATTTGGAGTTTTCATCTCTTTGCTTGTTCCTACACTCAGTCTTCTGCTTATGAAAAAAAAAAAGTTAGAGTATGTATGGTATGTACAAACGACACAACCTGTGAACATATGAACCCATGAACAAAAACGGCAGCTGTCGGATCTAAATTTAAACCAGACGGCTTGCTCATGTCCCATTCTAACCCAAGTGCAGAGCTCCAGTAGAATTCTTGCTGGAAGGTGCAGAAGTAAATTCTCTTTGGGAAGTATTGAAAAGCAAAAATTCGGGACGTATTTTGTTTCTGTCATGTTTCTTCAGTTTTTCACAGTAAGTATTCTTTGTTCTTCCGGGGAGTAAAGGCAACTGGTTGCAAGTTTCACTTTGGGTAGCGTATGCTTTATAAACCATTCAACTTTTGAAAATGGTGGTAAATAGGATTAAAGTAGTTGATGTGTGTTTGAAATTTCTCAAAGCCTTTGAGGATTGAGTTATGTGGGTTAAAGTATTAGGGAATATATTCATTAGTGCCTTTTTTGCAACTTATTTAGTCATTAGAATATTGGTAGCAAAGCTATTAACGCGATGTTACATCATCTCCTGGGAACATTACTGACCTTAGTATCACACAAGATTGCCATCTAGAGGCACTAATGATAAACCATGGAAAATAAATAATTAGCAAACAATTTTTAAATGCTTATAAGGCACACTTCAGAGACTCCTTTTGGTAAGAGACTTCGTTGTATATGGGTTGTCTGCTGGTGAGAAAGGGAGGGATCCTTTTTGAACACTAAACAAGGGACATGCTGAGGATCATGGGACCTGCATGTACAAAAGCTATGAAGCATGGGGGCTGTTATAGGGAGGGGAATTAGGCAAGACTGAGTAAAAAAGCTGGCTGGATCCAACCCATGGAGATAAAGATGGGCATATGTTCACACAGTTCTCCAACTCCAGTCTGAAATAGTGTCATCTAGAAACAGGTTCATCACATGGCAAGCTGTTTGTGTAGAGTGTTTTGATTTTTAGTCTGTGGCAATAAAATTAGTGAAATGGGTCATTATCAGTATATCCAGTTCTCATGGGCTCAGCAAAGGATACTTAAATCTGAAGATTGGGGGCATGAATAAAGAAGGCAGTGCTTTGCAAAAACTTAAGAAAAGCCTCAGGTTTGCAGAAAAATGTGAAATCTTAAAAAAACAAAACACTGCAGGATTTACCCCCCCCCCCGAAGCAGTGCCTGTAGCTTTACAAAAGGAATGCCCTCAGTGGTTGTTGATAAGCAGCCACAACAGTATTGTCAGGCTTCAAGGCTTGGTTTCTAACAATGAAAGACTGGCAGAGGGGCAGGGCCCTTTCTGGAGCTGTTTTGGCCTTTGAAGGCAGGCTTGTTCGGGACCAGGCCTGGTAGAAACTATTGGGCAACTTGATACCACACAACTTGGCATGGCTCACCCAGTTCTGGCTGTTTGCTACAGTTCAACAGTGGCCACCCCGCAAAGGCTAATGTGATGTAGCAACTGCAGTTTCAGACTAGGACCTGGGAGACCCAGGTTCCAGTCTGCATTCTGCCATGGCACTCACTGGGTGATGTTGGGGCACTGACACACTCTCTCTGCCTAATCTACCTCACAGGGTCATTGTGAAGATAAAATGGAGGAGAATGATGTAAGCTGCTTTGAGTCCCCATTGTGAGGAAAGGTCGAGTTAAAAACTAGCTGCGGGGGGTTGGGGGGTTGGATTAGGGCTCTGTCCCCCTCCCCTCTATGTTCTTTCCCCAGTCAGAAACCAGCTCCCCCAGCATCCTCTGTTTTCATGTCTTTTCTCCATCCTAATGCTAACAGCAGTTTGGAGGAGAAGGTTTCTTTTCAGGGAGATGGTGGGAACAGTTCCCCACCAGTGTTCCCTCTAAGCTGAGTTAGTGTGAGGTAGCTCACAGTTTTTTAGCCTCCGGCTCACACATTTTTGTCTTAGCTCAGGAAGGATGGCTCCAGAGCAAACTAATTAATGCAGCAGCCAAATCGCTTGCTCACCACTTTAATGCCACCAGCTCACAAAGTAGGATTTCTGCTCACAAGACTCCACATCTTAGAAGGACCATTGTTCCCCACCACCACTTATTCCCCAGTCCAACTCAGCTGTTTTTAAAGTCTTGAACAATGTTTCAGGGAATCCAGTCATGTATCCCTGATGTAGCTGGCCCTAAGATAAATGACTTTTGCTCATGGTTTTCTCCTTCACTACCTGTGCGTAATGTAGAGGTAGTCAGTCTAGCTCTACTTTGATTTTTTTAAAAAGCAAAGATTTATAGGTAAGTTAGAAAGTAACAAGTGGGGGACTAATGAGGGAAACTTATTTCCTCATCCCCCCCCCTTGCTTTTCCTCTTTCCTTCCCCCTGCCCTTCTAACAGCTTTCTGTCCTTGGCAGCCCTTCCCCTTTCCTGATGTCTCTCCCTCTTTCCCACCTTCCTTCCTCTCTCTCTCTCTCTCTCTCTCTCTCTCTCTCTCTCTCTCTCTCTCTCTCTCTCGTAGTCTGTACACACACACCCATCACTCACCCAACGTTTCCTTTTCCTTCCCCATTGTCAGCTTTTCCTGTTTTGCTTCTCCTCCCTCCAGCTTTCCTTTCCTTTCTTTTCTTCCTATCTTTTATTTATTTATTTATTTATTTGATTTTTATCCCGCCCTCCCGCCGAAGCGGCTCAGGGTGGCGTACAACAACATACAATAAAACAACTCATCTAAAACAATCAATACAAACATTAAAAACATACTTTACACTCAATAAAGCTTATTCAGAATGGCGACTATAAAGTGCTGCATGCTCAATCCAAGTTGTCAAACGCTTGGCGGAATAATTTTGTCTTAACAGCTCTCCGGAACTGGTAGAGATCCCGGAGGGCGCGGATCTCGTGGGGGAGCTGGTTCCACAGTACAGGCGCTACCACGGAGAACGCCCTGGTTCTGGTGGATGTTAATTTGGCATCCCTGGGGCCAGGGAGAACTAAGCGATCTTGTGACTCGGATCTCAGTGCTCTTGGGGGAACATACGGAGAAAGGCGGTCCCGCAGGTAGGCAGGCTCCAGACCATAAAGGGCTTTAAAGGTCATAACCAGCACCTTGAAGCGTATCCGGAACGCTATTGGCAGCCAGTGCAGCGCCCTCAGCACCGGCTGGATGTGGTCCCTCACCCTCACCTTTTACCTTTTTTTGGTTGTTTTCTCTCCACATGCTGACACTTACTAAGGCTCGGAATCCCTGACAAATGTTGGCTAGGGGTAGCCTGGTAACCCCCCACCCACCCAATTGCTGCCAAGATCCGTCTGTGTAGTCTGATGCGATCTCAGAGGCATTCTTTTCCTAAAGAAGCAGATATTGCTTCTATGATTTTAGTTTTTAAAAACATCACAATGTGTGTGTGTAGATATGAATACACACACACACTTCTTGTTTTTATGCAAACCTCAGGTTGCCCCAGGCTTGTAGAAAAATACACCCAATCTGTGCGTGGCCCCATTTTTGACCCACACTTTGAAGCCATTGTTCTGACTGGTCATGGGGAAAATGGGGGAAAGGCACATTTAATTCAAGCCAAAGCTAAGGTTCATTTCAGGTGCATTCTGCATAATGAGATTATTCAGGACAGCTGTACCTGGAGGCAACTTCCCTGTCAGATGACTAAGAGTCATGAGGTGTTATGATTTGCCTCCTCATTAAGGACATTCTTTCTTACCTACACATTCATTGTCAGAGAAATAGAAGGTGGCATAGGACTGCTTTCGAGAAACCTGTGTTTCAGCTATGTGAACAGAATTCTTCTGTACCTGCTAGTAGTATGTGGCAGAAACTTGCAGTTTATTGTGCCGAATAATTTATTACCTGTTGAACTGGAAGGTGAAAATTAAATGTTGCAGTTTCACAAAGTGAGTCTGACTCTTCACGACCCCCATGGATCAACATCACACCAGGCCCTCCTGTCCTCCGTCGTCCTCTGGAGTTTGCTTAATTTCATGTTCGTTGCATCAATAGCACTAACTATCTCATCCTTTGCTGTCCCCTTCTTCTTTTACATTCAATCTTTCCCAGCATCAGGGCCTTCTCCAATGAGTGCTCCCTTCTCATTTGATGGCTAAAGTATTTCAGCTTCAGTATTTGGCTTTCTAGGGAACAGTCAGGGTTGGTTTCTTTGAGGATTGACTGATTTGATCTCCTTGCAGTCCAAGGGACTCTCAAGAGTCTTCTCCAGCACCATCATTCAAAAGAATCTATTATTTGGTGCTTGGCCTTCCTTATGGTCCAACTCTCGCAGCCATACAGTACTACTGGGAATACCATTGCTTTGACCATACGGACTTTTGTTGCCAGGGTGATGTCTCTACTTTTTATTATGCTGTCTAGGTTTGCCATCGCTTTCCTCCCAAGGAGCAGGTGTCTTTTAATTTCATGGCTGCAGTCACTTTCTGTCACTGCTTCCATGACTTCCCCTTCTATTTGCCAAGGAGTGATGGGTCCGGATGCCATGATCTTAGTTTTTTTGATGTTGAGTTTCAAGCGAACTTTTGTGCTCTCCTCTTTTATCCTGAGCAAGAGGCTCTTTAGCTGAGGCCAAAGCACTTCCCTGTGGGCCTTTTTAAACTGGGCTGTTACCCATGCAAAGTAGCTACATGTGTTGTGCTCAGCATCCTGTTGAAATCAGACCTAAGGTAAAAAAGGGAGGAGAGATCCAGCCAGACAACTGTAAACATATGACAAAATGGCTCTTATAGTCCAATTATTTGTGAAAACTCTTATTAAAAGCATCTTTCTTCCAAATTTGCACGTTATATTGCTTGGGGAGAAGACTTCTCTGTGATTCCCACTGGATTGTGGCATCCCCCCCCCCCCGGGGGTAATGTTATTCAACATCTATATGTGCCCCTTTGCTAAGTTAATCCAGAGGTTTGGGCTAGGGTGTCACCAATATGCAGATGACACCCAGCTGTTATCTGTTAATGGATGGATGGCCAGACTCAGCCCCAGATGTCTTGGACAGGGCTTTGGGGGCCGTGGCTGGTTCGCTGAGGCAGTGTCAGCTGAAGTTGAGTACTGCAATCAGGGATCCCGAATCGACTGGTCCTCCCGAGCATAAAGGAGGCCAGACTGGTGACAACCAGGGCCTGGGCTTTTTCGGTGGCGGCTCCACTCTAGTGGGATGAGCTCCCAGAGGAGACCAGGGCCCTGCAGGACCTCTTACAGTTCCACAGGACCTGTAAAATGGAGCTTTTCTGCCAGGCTTTTGGAGCCCCCACCACCCCCACTGCTGTTACCATTGGGAACACCAACTGACATTGTATGGCAAAGAGCCCTGATCCACTGGACCCCTAATAACTGCACGAGCCGATTCCCCCCCTTTATGACATCTGAAGAGTCTTTTTATGACATCTAATGCAGACCAACGGTACTGACGCATAAGACATACTTTATTATTATATTTGGTTTTGATATAGTATTTTAATGTTGTATTTATTATCTATATGTATTTTGGAATTTTATCTGTTGTAAGCTCCCCTGAGCCGGCCCCAGCTGGGAGGGCGGGATAAAAGTTTAACAAATAAAAATAATAAAATAAAGTTAAATCCATCAAAGACAGAGGTCCTATACCGAAGTCACAGGGCGCTAAATATGGGAATTCAGCTCCCAACTCTGGGTGGGGCACTAATGTCACCAGTGCCAAGAGTGAGGAGACTAGGAGTGATCCTGGATGCCTCTATCGGTGGATTGCCAAATCAGCCTTCCTCCATCTTCGGCAGGTTCATCAACTAGTCCCCTACCTTTCCTCCAGCAACTTGGCTACAGTGATGCACACAATGGTCACTTCCAGGTTAGATTATTGTAACTCACTTTATGTGGGGCTACACTCGTACCTGATTTGGAAGTTGCAGCTAGTACAAAATGTGGCAGTGCCGCTGTGGACTGTGATGTCTCCTCGGGCACACATTTGCCCGGTTATGTGCCAATTACACTGGCTGGCAATAGAATTCCAGATCTGTTTCAAGGTATTGGTCGTACCCTTTAAAACCATATGTGGCCAGGGACCAACATATCTACGGGACTGCCTCTCCCCATATGTGGCCCAAAGAGCTCTATGCTTTGTAGACCACCATCTGCTGGAAATCCCTTGCCCTAAAGACGTCCCAATGGAGCTAAATGAGCTCCCAGTGGAGATCAGGGCCCTGCGGGATCTATTACAATTCTGCAGGACCTGTAAAATGGAGCTATTCTGCCAGGCCTTTGGTTGAGGCAGTGGACATCCAATTAATCTGGCCCCTCCTGCTTAAGCAGCCCTCTGTGTCCGACAGCCCTACCACTCTGAGAACCTGGACCATTCATGCCTCTATCTACTCAGACACCACAGGTTTTTGAAACTGCCATATTGTGACTGAGTTGGACTTTTGAAATAGTTGTCTCTAGGTTTTTAAAATAGTTTTATGTTTTATCCAATATCTTGTATGTTGTAACCCACCCTGAGCCCGCTGCCATCATTCTCAAAACTCCCTGCTAACCTTGCGGTTCTGAGTTAGAATCCTTACTGCAACTGCACATTTATGTCCTTCCTCAGAAAGGCCTGCAAGGGGGTCCTATCCAAGAGACCCTCTGCTTCACTTCAGAGGCAGAATGCCCTCAGACATGTTCAGACCATTCCCCCTGGGCTCTATGGTTGATGATACATAAAGCCAAACACAATCACGGGTGGTGGTAAAACAGCTGAGGGCTGGAACCCGCTGTCCATTAGAAGGTGGTGGTGGCAGCGGCGGCGGTGGGTCTTCCTGACTTTCCTTTCCCCCAACCCTTTCATTCCTGGAGTCATGCAGATTAATACCCCTGCATGTTGGGAGGCTGCACTGGGAAGGGGGCAAATTACTCTCTTGTATCACTTGCATCGGTAGTGTTTCACTAATGGAAAACAAAGAAGGGGATGGTTTCACCCCATCCCCTACTGCAGCCTTCCAACCCATATGGCTATTTCTCCACGTGGGTCCTGCAACCTCAGGAATAGCTGATGAGAGGAGGGAAGCTGAAAACATTGGGGATCCCTACATGGTCCTCACACTGAAGCCAACCCTGTGAGTCCTTTACTCATCTCAAGTTTCTCTGCTTCTTTTTTCTGCCTTCATTGGGCCTCACTGTCTTCAATCTTTTTCAGGCAAGCCCAGAGTCACCCAAGCCTAAACAGGAGGATTCCAAAAGTCGAAGTGCTTTGTTAGCTCAGATCCAGAGAGGCACTCGCTTAAGAAAGGTAGTACAGACCGATGACCGAAGCGCTCCTGAGATTGAAAGTAAGTCTTTAGATTTGGGACTTCTCAAGCTAGTGGGCACAGCAACGTTTCAATTAATAAACTCTTTGGTAGAAGGAACAATGTATGTTGTATGAACGGTGATTTATACTTGGCCAATTATGTATGATGTAAACTACTATTATTTTTGTCACACTTGGCAGCTTAACATGACCAGTTCCACTTTCCCCCCAAAGCACCAAACCTTTATTTTCCCCAAACCAGCCCATCAACTGGTATTAGTGTGTTGAAAATACGTTTTGAATCCTGATATGTTCCTTTTTGTAAATTTCTCACTCCCCCCCACAATCTGAAATGTTGCCAAGCAGATGCTCCTTTTACTGTAGACATGACCTCATTCATGATTTACCCTTTTTGATCAGCTTTTTTCAAGCCCATTTTACATGCTCTCTGTGGACTTATGAACTGTTTATTAGTTTAGCTATTTTTTGGTCCTCTAGAGGAATGACTGTTTTCTCAAGTCACATAGAAAATTCAATTATCTTTTTCTCTGGTCAGAAACTATTCCTAATGCTTAAGCAAAGCACATAGTTTGCCTGGAAATACCCAGGTAACATGAGTGGCTCCATTTTGAAACCCTTTAACCAAAAGGATTGTGGCAGCAAAGCATGCTTTAGTGACTCCCATTTGCCCAGGCAATCACCCCCCCTTTAGTACTTTTGATCCATATTCTTTTACAAATCTGATTTTTTTTTTAAATGACATATGATCTTTGATTTCATTTACACTAAATTAGTCTTTAAAGAAATCAGCACCATCCTTTGGTTTTCAATCCATTGCCCACCTGTACCTAAACACTTTTAGTTTTAGATTAACTGTGTTAGTCTGAAACAGCAGAACAAACGTTGAGTTGAGTGGTACCTTTAAGACCAACAAAGTTTTATTCAAGGTCTAAGCTTTCATTTTGACATATTTATTTTACTACATTTTGATTTGTTATGATATTCTTTGCTATGGGACTATTTCATGTTTTATATTCTTATATTATGCAATGTCCTTAAAATATGTTTAACAAATGATGTTCTATGCTTCTCACCTTTCCCTTTGTCCTTTTTAATTTTGTATCCCCTTAAATGGTAAAATAATAATAATAATAAAAAAAAGGTATAAGCTTTCATATAAGCACACAAAAGCTTATATCTTGAATAAAACTTTGTTGGTCTTAAAGGTGCCACTGGAATCAAACTTTGTTTTACTTTTGATTTTGTTACCTGATACTTCAGGTTTCTGATATATGTTGACTCTTCCATATAAAGCTACCAATAGGATTACAAATGACCTGAAGCTATTTCTGAAGATCTCAAACAGGGAACAGCTGACTGCCCTCAAGGTATAATACTTGTGGGTGTGGATTTTTTTTCTTTAAAAAAGAGGGAGTCAGTGCTCATATATAAGGTTGCACTTGTTTCCACCAATTCTCCACTCTGGAGTTGGGAAAGCCCCCCCCCCCAGGTGCAGGTACTCAGTACCAGTGAGTGCCACCACAAAAAAAGCCCTGCTTGTGGAGATGCTGCATCTTTCTAACATTCTGACATCTCTATTTTATGGCTGGGAAATGTATATCATAAAGTAGACAACCATTGTTACAAAACCAACAGAAGTTATCTTGGCTGTTCACTAAATAAGCATTAACACATCATGGGCTAGCAGATGAGGACCATTTAACTTAAAGTATTGGGTTACTTTACCTACTGGTCACTAGGGAAGGGAAAGACCACATCTGTTGGCATTTCCTACCTGTGTTTGTACACCAGAGGGTGCTATTTTTTAGGATGCCAGAATCCCTTTACTGCTGTTGCAATAGTACATGCTAGTAATTGCAGAGAAAGGTAAGGCAAAAATTGTTCCCTGTAATTCCTGAACCTTGGTAGAAAACAGCACATCATTAATGGCCTTTTTGTCATTACAGACTCTAGAAGAAGGGCCAGCAGAGAAGGAGGAAGCCTAGGAATGGGCAGAAATGACGTCCCTCAGGCATTAGGAAGCCTCTTTGCGGATGGTTTTCCTGTACTGAGACCAGTAGGCCAAAGAGATTTGACAGGTAAAAACATTTTTCTAGTTAAAACCCTGGCACTAAATCTGTTTCCTTTTAGGTGCCAGGTGAAAATATTTTTTTTCTCCTAAGCTTTTGCTTTAGGGTTCCATCCATTTCCATTTTATTCTGTCTAAGCCCATTCTACCACTACTGAATGTTGTTAGCTCATAGATTGCTGTAATTTGAGTTGTAGGCTGCCATAATTCTTATTAATAATTGTCGTGTTGGATTTTTTTGTTATGTAATCTTATTTATTTATTTATTATTTCAATTTGTATCCCGCCTTGCCACAGAACTGGCTCAAGGCGGCTAACAACATTAAAAACACTAAAACAATAAATACATTAAAATACAATAGAGTATAAATACAACTGCCAAAGCAGTTGAACAGTACTAATGATGATGATGATGATGGCAGCATACAATGTTCAAACAGAGGCGATAACCAACCGATGTTTCATGTAGGCTGAGATTTATTCCGGCGGCGCATTCGTCAGTGGCGCATTTGCCAGTGGCCCACTCATCAGTGGCGGCTCCTAATCGAAAGCCTGGTGAAAGAGCTCCATTTTGCAGTCCCTGTGGAACTGTAGAAGGTCCCGCAGGGCCCTGATGGTATCCGGGAGCTCATTCCACCAGCGTGGAGCCGCCACTGAAAAGGCCCTGGCTTTAGTAGCAGCCAACTTGACGTCTCTCAGGCCCGGAAGAGTCAAGCGGTTCTGTGTTCCTGACCTCAGTGCTCTCTGGAGCACATGTGGGGAAGGGCGGTCCCTCAAGTAGGCAGGCCCCTGACTATATAGGGCTTTAAAGGTCAAAACCAGCACCTTAAAATTGATCTGGTAAGCTATTGGCAGCCAACTTCAGCATAAGTTGGATGTGGTCTCAAATAGAGAGACGCATCAACAGCCTGGCCACCGCATTTTGCACTAGCTGCAGCTTCCAGATCTGAGACAAGGGCAGCCCCATGTAGTCTAATCTTGAGGTGACCATAGCATGAATCACTGTTGCCAGGTCATCATGCTCAAGGAAGGGAACCAACTGCCTAATCAGCTGCAGATGGTAAAAGGCTGTCTTGGCAGTGGCTGCTACCTGGGCCTCCATTGTTAAGGTGGCATCCAGGAGCACTCCCAAACTCCTAACCCTTGGCGCTGGCACCTGTGGCACCCCATTGAAGGTGGGGAGTGGGGTCCCTACCCCTGGTCCACTCCAACTCAGGCACAGGACCTCCATCTTTGTTGGATTCAATTTCAATCGACTCAGTCTAAGCCAGCCCGCCACGTCACAAAGTGCCCGCTCCAGGTCATCTGGGGTAGAGTTGGACTGACAGCCCAACAACAGATATAGCTGGGTGTCATCTGCATATTGATGGCACCCTATTTATTTATATTTAGATAATAGACTGTATGCTTTGGCATTAAAGAAGATGAACTCTAGTTAGCACAACACCGTATGACAGTTCCCTTTGACAGGCTCTCTACAATGTGTTTTCTTAGTAATGACCTTCCTTGTGCTGTGATAGCTTCCCTATCAAACTATAGAGATGTTTTCCATCTGTTTCAATCAAAGGCTGCAAGAATTTTAAGAAAAAATGTACTGAAAGATGGCAAAGAAACGAAGTTTATATGGGCAGCCTTGTAAACCTGCCAAGCTAAGGAACCCAGTAGCACTGGGGATGGAGGAAATCACACTGCCCATACCATCTGAATCTACTTCCAACCACTGGATGTGGCAGCTGCCTCTGTGCTCTGTAGAGAGATATACAAGAGCTTTTGCCGTAGGCATTGGGGTAGGAGCTGTGAATTTCTGTGAGTCATCACTAAATATCACTGTAGGGTTTCCGGTGACTGTGTCACCACTTGCACTGCACCATTGGAGTGGTAGGCAATGGGAATTCTTGGAAAGATAGCCATTTCCCCACAGGGCCGGAAAAATCCTGTCATCAGTATTTTTGATCCATGTACTTATCCCAGAGTAAATTGCTTTGGAAGCCTGAAATAATAATAATAATAATAATAATAATAATAATAATAATAATAATAATAATAATTT